TATTTTGATGGTGTTTGGTGGGGGTTGGGGGAACATGACTGGGATGGGTGACCCCGATGCCTTTTAGTACCTCTGAAATTATACACCACTTGGCTGCTGCTGACTCTGCCAAAATGCCATGACAGCCCTGTGTGACCATTTTTTAATGGCCCACGAAAAGCAATTCAGAGAACAGTCAGTTTCTTTCACTGAACATCTGTGAAAACCACAACTTTTTTACAAATTATATTTGCCTCAACTGTCCTGGGCTTTAAGACTAGGTATTTTCTATTGCTTGAGCCAGCCAGCTAGAGTCTTCCCAAGTTTAAGATGATGCTCTCTGCCTGGGAAGGCCATTATGGGAAAATCACCAAACCACAAACCCACAAACGATGTCAAACAAAGGATGTGATTCTGAGTGTGAGCTATGGGTTCTGGCAGGTCTTGTTAGGGAAGAAAGCCCAGCTGTTAAAGAAATAAAATTTGCCCTATCAATACAGGAGTAAGCTGAATTTTCCCCAGAAACAGCTTTTTCCCGTAACTTTTCTCACATTCACTCTTAAGAATTTAGCACAAGTTATAAAACTCAGAAAAGTTACTCCCAGAATTCAGCTTAGTAAGACAGTAAAAAAGTTACAGAAACTTAGTAATTTCAAAACCATGCAAGCCTTGAGGATGTTTACAACCTTAAGGAGTACTTAAAGTTCGAATGGAGTTGTAGAATACCCTGCTTACATTAGTTTATTTAAATATAAGCTTCGTTGAACTGTTTTTGTTATTATTCCTTTCTCAATCATCTATTCACCAAGTATTTTTTGAAAGCATACAATGTTCCAGACACTATGTTAACCTTTATCTAATAAAATTACTTTCGGCTATTAGTACTTCAATTAAAATAATTATATTTTATATGAATCTATTATGCAAAGCATAAAATAATATATCCAATATATCAAAGTCTTCAGAAGTACTTGAAATATCTTGACCCACCACCTTCCCTTAATTATTGTTAGCATCATTAAAAATGCTTTTTCTTTCTTCAGCACTGTGTTCAACCAAAGAAACTACATAAAATATGCCTTATGTTAAGGAATGAACAAGACAACTATAGAATTCTACATTTTAGTAAAAGACAACATCTACAGTAAAGGGCACCTTCACTGAAATCTCCATTCTAATTCACTGAAGGACATTTATAAGAAATGAATATTTACAAGAAATATAAAGACATTAATTTCATGAGAGTAGATCTTAGACTATCTTAGAACCGTGTAAAATTTTAGCCAAATTTTCAGGTAAGCTTATTTGCAAATTAAAAGTGAATTTTACTTGCTTACAATTAACTATTATTTAGGAAAAAGCCTTCATGGGCCAAATTTCATACAGTAAATTTAAATGGAAGTAAGTTTTCCTTAAAGTATGTATTTTTATGGGGAAAAGTTTATATTTTCTTTGGGAAATCAATTCCATAGTTATTTACAAACTAGGCTTCTATTGGCTTTTTGAATGCTTTTTAATATCCATACTTTTAAATTAGTCGAAGAGTAACATTTGTTGAAGGCTCTTAGAAAATTGCAAACTAGTCCATGGTTACAATATATGCTAAAAAAGTGCTTATGTTAGGTGCTTCTATAATTCAAAACGTCAAGTTGAAAATAACAAATAATGTTCAGCCAGAAATAAGGAGTCTCATAATTCTCTGTAATGTAAATGGAAATGTATTTAATAGAAATCAGTTTGTGAATAGAGGTCTTTATTGTGATGTAGATATGTGGGAGATTTAAGACCACTTCCTTTAAAATGTTGAGCAAAAGGACAGACGTGGCCAAAAATTATTGTTAGTATTTTCCTCCTCTGAGGAATTTCAAGAGTAATTTAAGAAAAGAGCGATTCTGTCTGCAAAAGTACTTTAATCTTCTGCAGCCAACACTCATAAAGAAATCATTTCCCTGGCTTCGTGTTCAATTAGTTGGTTCCCATTCAACGTGTAGATATTTTTATTCTGCATTCATAGTTACTATTCAATGCCCAAAGTAATAGAATATAGACATAGGTGCTAATTTTTTCTTGCCTTAACTAGTATTTGGTAAATTCATTTAATGTAATAGAATTTAATTTTTGTAATAACAGAGTGCTTTAAACCCATGTTACTCAAAGTGCTGGCTCTAGAGGAAAGAAAGAGCTTGGCAATTATGCGAATTAACGCACTGCTTCCTTCAAGAAAATCTGGCTTCAGAAAAATTCTCAGCTCTACTAAGCAGTGTGCTTTGTGATTTACATTCTGGCACAACTCTTTTTCTTGTTGCAGACTACCAGCAAACAATTAACGGGCCAGCAGCCAATCTACGGAGCACATTTTTAGTATCACTGATTTAAATTATATACTAACTTTTTAATGTTTTTTTTTGGGGGGGGGGTTGTTTTGTTTTTTGTAAAGCATGAAGCATAGAGAATGTAAATATAGTTAAGAAAAGGCTTAAATATAGTTAATTTTCGGCTTACGTGTGGTAAAGACTCCAGTGGCTTTGGGGCTCTCTTGGTTGCCCTTTATGGCCACAAGGGATACGGTGTACTCAGATCCAGGCTGCAGATTCCTCAGTGGGTACTTCGAGACAGAGGGACCCACATTGTACTGCCTGGGCTGGCCTCTTCGGGTCAGGCCCACAGTCAGTCGGTATCCTGTTATCCGGGCCCGAGGTGGAGTCCATCTCACCAGGACAGTAGAATCCGTTTCATTGACAAACTGGAGGTTAGTGGGAGCGTCCAGTTCTAGGAAAAAAGATGAAACATGCCAAGAAATATTTAGATCAGTAATGATCATAACTCAAGTCCTGAAGCTTGATTGAATGTCTAAATTTTCTCTCCTCAAGGTTGCAACTATGTGAAAGTCAGAACCCCGGAAAAACTGAGCCAGTAAGAGATTGAGTGCTACATAGAACTTTGCCAAAACTCTGCCAGTCATGAGAAATTGTGGAACCATTTTGCTTGACTGTGATCCTTCGGGAAGTCTAATGTTCCAGCATGACCTTCCCATCACTCTCAGAAATTATAGTTACATTAAAGCAATGGTATTTTTTAAAAGGCAAAACAAACACTTCTGAACTTCACAGGTTGCTCTGAGCCAAACAGATTAAGGAAAAAGGGATATGCCTCCTAAAATGACAGCAAGAAGAAGCTCTCTATGGGTCAGAAGCAATATTCTGTGAAGAGTCCCTGCTAGAGAAATAAAAGTTATTTTCACATGGTTCAGAT